CGCCTGTTTTTGTGTCCGCACCTGGGTTCCAGAGACCTGCCATGAAAAAAGGGCTTCCTTCTCAGATGGTAGCCTCTTAGCCCCTGGCAATGTAAAACACGCTTGACTGCAGACACTGACACCTTTGTTCAAGCAGCTTATAATTCATTGCAGACCTGCTTTTTAGTGATTCTTTACTGACTCTTGACCAACCTGACCAACTGTCTCTTAGCAGCAGGTGACAGCTTGTGTTTTGTTTCTGATCATTTCAGTGACACAACTGTACTGTGCACTTTATAATTACAAAGAATTGTTTGCACAGATGATTTTGTGTCATGCCGTCTACCTCCACCTTTGCTTAGTTGGCAGCCTTCCCTCTCCATACTTCACTTTTCCCTTGTGTGTGTGAGCGAATGTGTCTGTGTGTGCATGTGGGTTCATCACTCCTCTTGAGTGAGTACACCTGCGTCAGGGAGTGGCTCAACCTGTTTCTCCTGTGCTTAGTCATCCGGCCTGTTCCCTGCTTGGATGTATTCCTCCCTCTGCCAACCTTCTGACACAAACACTACCCATCTGGACCTGTTTTCCACATGGGACCCCTTCCCTGGATATGAAGCCAACTTCATGTCAAAAACTTCCATGAGCCACACTCCGCATTCCTCATCCACCCACACACTCCATAACCACTCTCCCTCTTCCCATTTGCCAGCAAGTCGAGTAGCTTGTGCCCCAGCCTTGTATTCTTATTAGTGTTAATTATAGGTATTTTATATCCTGGGTCTAGTTGTATCTGTTCCACAATGTTGGTTTCTCCAGTGTTCATTGCACTTCGTGTGAGATCCAGTTTAGGCATTATGGTGTAACCATGCTTAGTCACACTCTGTCACTGACTGGTTCAAAACCCCTCGACTTTGCATTGTGTTGGTTTGTAAAAAGATTAATCTAATTAATTAGCAGCTTTGTAATTAATTAATCGCACTTAATCACATTTTTGTCAAATACCAATATCTGTCAAAATAAGCAAAGTTTTTCAATTCAAATAAATTTTGGTTGACAACTGAATCAATGAAAATTCATATATGTGAACTTAAACGACAAAAATGTTTATTTTTCATTTACATTTATCTTTGCATTTTTCATCTGTCTACTACATTCAGAGATTTGTGCAAACTCAAAGTGCAATTATAGCTATTATGTTTAACATTTTAAGACTTTTTGTCTTAAAACTCTTTGTTGTGCAAACATGCTTTAATCCAAGTTGCTATTGGGAAGTTTTTTTTTTTAAATTAAAAAAAAAAACAAAAAAAACAACTTTCCACCAAATAAGCCAAGTAATGCTGTACACCCCCTCGCCACCACCGCCGATGGTGGCAACAGAACAGTGACTGCCAAACTAAACTGGCATCAGCAGCCAAATACTGCCTGTGCGGAGCTCTCGGTCTCCATCTCCACCAACAGTGTACGATATTGTAACTACACGGCTTCATTCAGTGATATCAGTAACGCACAACTTAGCATGTTAGCAGATAAAACACATTCCCTCAGCTGAGAATCTGTATTGCTCATAAATAATAGTCAGGAAACAATCTGGTTAAAGGGAGACGCTCTTTCCAGCCGATTTAAATCTGAAACTCTGAACACAATCTGCTCCCGACCAGGTTAACTCCACAGCATAAGTTACCATGGAGATCTAGCCAGGTATAAAGAGAGCCACCTTTGTGATACTGAAAACTTGCTAACCCACTAATCTCGCTTCGTAGTACAGCCCTCTGGTCTGTTGTGTTTTCTGTCTGTTGTGTTTTCTGTCTGTGCTTTGGTCTCTGAGGCCCCACGACATTTTGGGGTCTGAAGCCTCTTTAAAATGGCTTCTAAGTGACTTTCCTGATTTGTTCAAGTCAATGATTTGCTTCTTCAGATCAGTGCTGAGCATCTCAAACTTTTCCATTTTAGTGTTTGAGGCAGAGTCAAATGAGTGTATCAAATGGGCCATATTTAAATTGACTCAGAAAAGTTGCCAGCTATAGTCAATTGTAATCACTCAGAAGAATTTGAGAGGCCATGTCACTAAGAAAATTGATTTACAGCTACATTTTTCCACATCATCAAAAATAATGAAATAAAGCTGTATGTATGCATGTTTTTGACCCAGCAGATTTTTTTTTTTCATTTGTCCAGAACACCTACAATAAATATATATAAGAATCAAAATGCATAACTGTTGCTGGTGACACGGATTCATGGGTTTCAATGATTCCATCATAGAAAGTTGTAGGAGTCACTGGAAATTCAACAATCCTGCTGTGGTGTACATAGCATTTACAAGTGTATGTCACTTTTTGCTCATGACTGTATGGGATGTATTGGCATTTGGTGGTGAAAGTGAGCTTTGTCCATTCTGTCCAATTTAATAGAAAGAAGGTGAGTAGAAGGATGCACATTATACACATGGTGTACAGCAGGTGGCACTGCATCCACAGGTGTGATTAATAATACTCCTGTCTCAGCACAATATTTACATGGCTACAGGTCTACTTTTAATCTTAAAACTAATTTACCATTTGTAAAAAAAAGTAATTAATTAATTACACCAGTGATTGGATTTAAAGGGAAAATATAATACAAAAATATTAAAATCTACTGTTTTTCTCTTTAACAATGCACTGTTTTTTGTTTTTTTTTAAACTTGTTGTATGTCTTTTTAATGTACAAATGTAATTAGTAAAATCCTAATGTGTAAAGTCAGTAAATGTACTGCAGTAAAGATCACAGCTTTGGCTTGTCGTTATATTGTACCTTAATACATCTGCCATAGGATGGAGTAATAGTGCCAGGAACGGATGTGCTGACTGCTACATTACAAACACAAAGTTTGACCTTGTGGAGTATTTGTATAAGATAGGAAGAATCAATTTGTTGTGATGCACTGTGACATCAATGCAAGCGTACGCACAAGGTAGAACATCGTGCTGTTTATTGTGTAACACTATGTTAACTTTTCTTGCAGCAGAGAACCATGTATTTGTCACATTGTATCTCAGCATTCAAAGTGAACTTCATGACCACTATCATTTTCAGTCACAGTTTTATACATTTAGTGACATTTGGCATCTTGACACTTTGTGTGATTAGTATTTGTGTTATTGGTGCTTCTTTGTCTTTTCCATAATGAACAGAACAAGGTTTTTATTCATGTCCTCACTATTGAAAGGTGTGGCACTAGGGAGTGTACTCAGTCCAAGCAAGGACTGCATCGCTTTAAGCAATGTGAGGAATGAGTAGTCTGTTTTAATGACTCTTCTCTGTTATTTACAGCAATGCAGTATGACAGGTTTATTAGAGGCATCATCCTCTTAATCATGGATCAAACAGTCAGTTCGTCATTGATGTTGACAGGTGGGAATTTTTAAATAAGTTTTTGCCCTTATGTTGTTGGTATTTATGCCAATGTGTTTTTAACGCATCTATGCCAATCAAATGCATGCTGACATTGCAGCTTGAAGTGTCACGCTACTTGATGAATGTGATCTGTTCTGCCTAAAGGGCAAAACAGATCTGATTTCAGGTGACATGGGAACAAGACACCTCAGACATTCTCATCCTTTAATTTAAGCAAACCCAGCTACAAAGACACACAACCGTTGCTGTCAAGAACAAGACAGCTCATTGATTAGGGTTGTATGTTCTGTATGTTCTGATGTCTTTTTATGCATGTTATATTTACTTACAAAATGTTATTATTATTGTTTGTTTGCTGTAAGGACCTTGGCAGGCTGTACAGATAGAGGTATCATTACATGGAATTATAACGTTCTGTCTATGACTTTCTGGTTTCAAATGTTGAGATTCAAAGTTTTTATATCCTACCTTCTATACCTGGGAGTTGCTTCGTACAGCTGATGCAGCAAAGGCTGATTTGTTGGACACGAAACAGTGATGTTAAAAGGGAAATCCTTTACTAAACTAAACTCATTTTTCCTTTGCGACTGTATGTCTTTATGGAAAACTGCCGTGATGCTACTTTTAACGCCAAAAATTAATGTATATACGACAATCCATCAGTGTTTTACATGTATACAATAAAGCATCTGGTTAGATCAAAGATTCTCACTAACAAATTTTAGCACAAAACACACAACTGCAATATATTCAAAGAATGCCTCTGTTCTAGCCTTTGATAGTGTTTTCTCTTGGTCCACGTCTGTTCTGCTCTGACCACTTATTCCATCCATCCATCCATTATCTATACACCGCTTAATCCTCACGAGGGTCGCGGGGGGGCTGGAGTCTATCCCAGCTGATTTAGGGCGAAGGCAGGGGACACCCTGGACAGGTCACCAGTCTGTCACAGGGCTACACTTAGAGACAGACAACCAAGCACACTCACATTCACACCTATGGACAATTTAGAATCACCAATTAACCTCAACATGTTTTTGGACTGTGTGGGAGGAAGCCGGAGAACCCGGAGAGAACCCACGCTGCACGGAGAGAACATGCAAACTCCACGCAGAAAGATTCCGGTGCCCCCACCAGGACGCGAACCGGCAAACCACTTATTCCATAATCCTCTAGTCTCTTTTTTGGTCCCCAAACTCCTTTGCTTTGTCTAGCCAAAAAGTAGCAGTGTTTTAGGTCTGCATATAGGGACTTTTATCGTTGTGTGTCTACACTAAGAAAGGCAAAGGTGCTTACTGGAACCAAACATTTTTCTTTTTCTTTTTTTTTTTTTCTTTTTTAGTTCCACATAGAACCCAAAAGGTTCTTTAAAAACCATTTCTGTAAACTGTTCTTTGAAGAGCCCCAGAGTTTCTTCAAAGAAGCATTAAAATTGTCTAGGCATTATAAATGGTGCACCAGAGAACTGTAGCAAAAATAGATTCTTAAAGGAACCATTCTCAGGATAGCCACTCGTTAAGCAGGAAGCCTCTCTAAAATCATTCTTAAGTCACTTTTGAAATAAATGGTTCTTTGAGCATTATCAAATTATAATGAGTAGGTTGAAAATTAGCTCATGAACAGAGTTGTTTTCCATTTTATTAACAGTCCTTTTTTGCTTCATTTGCTTACAGACAAGTCAGGTATTAAATATCTGAACTTCAGAGAAGCTCAAAGTCAATTCAACAGACCTATTGGTCAAATACGAACAAAAATCCCAATGAGAGGGAACAGAGGCCCCTAAAATCTTAAATTAACCTGTGTATCATACTTAAAAATCAAGAAGCACTGAATGCATTTAACAACCATGGACTAATTGATTTCAAGAACTTTAAGAATTTAAGAATTCACAGGATTTTGGTTCTTCCATTAGATTTATGTCCATATGCCCTACTCATTTATTGTATAGTCCAAGGATCTGTTTCATCAATTGCTTGCTGCTAATTTCTTTACAAAAAAATCTAGCCACAACTGCAACTTGAAAGAAACCAGCATAGTAACAGTTGTAGACACCTTGGCTCTAACCCTTAGACAAAAACACACAAACCACTCATAGGTTGTTAATGGATTATATTGTACAATACAAGTGTTTTCTTCAAGGTGCCTTAGATTAGTACAAATATAACTTTTCTGTCACCACTCCATCCTAATATCAGCTTCAAAAAGAGAGCTAAAGAAAATAAAGCATTATAGCACTGACATGTAAAACCCAGCGCACACTTACTTTACACAAGACAAAGTACATTATGTATCAGACTGACAGACTTCTTAAATGAAATAATGGCAGCACTCGGCAATCCCATTCCCACTGTTTTTTTTTCAAACAAACGGTAGTGATCATTTATGAATTATGGAAATTGCAGAGATGAAAAAAGATAAAATTATCGTAGTTTTGCTTTAATACACTACACCCAGATGTGAAAAGTATGTTCACCAACTCCAACATATTTTTTCTGGTTTACATTTCAACTAGTTAAACATGTCCATTTAGTAATTACAAGACACACCCAGAATATGCTTTGTTTTTACATTTCAGTTAACAGAAAGTAACAAGAAATACTTGTAGTTCAAATGTTGTATTTTAAAATGAAAGACACATTTGGTGATATTAGGGGTCAGGGGTCAGGGGTCCCCCCCCCCAAAAAAAAACCCCAAAACAAACAAAACTGAAAACATCTTACCCACCACCAAAATCATTAATAAAGGTCCTTTAGTAGACTGAATAGTAGCAGCCAGTTGCTTGACTTGAATTTTGAATGTTTTCTGGTTATGTGACATGTTACGTAAGTATTTACTATTTTACATACTTTTCCACCTATGACTCGAAGTCTTAAATTACATCTAAGAATTTACCTCAAAATTATGTGGTCAAAAATGTCTAATTCTACTATAAGCGAGCTCATGTACATTATAAAAGCAGAAATATCACATTTATTCCTTTCTCAATAGCAACACCACTGTTAAACTGAAAGGGTGTGGGATTTTGCTGTTACAGCCACACTTGGTTTGGAAGCTTATGGTGGCCAATTTTGGCAACGGCAACAGCTAAATAACATTCCTGTGTTGGTTTCTGTTGTTCGGTCTTTTGGCCCACTTGCCTGTTAGGTATTCTGTGGAATAAAGTAACAGCGGACCTGCTGGGGCTATTTGATATAAGGGTGGTGGGTGCAGTCAACAAGTAAGTCAGAAATTAAAAATCTCTCTGATGTTTGAAGTGTTCTGTATGCCTAAAGCAGTTTCCTTCAGGAAACCGGGCTGGCAGAAATGGCAAACACCCCCCACCAAGTGATCTAATAATGCCAGGGGGAGACACCAGCCTGAGGGCATTTGTTACTCCTGGATCTTTTTTCAAAACTGAGTATTTGGTATTATTTACCATCTTAGCCCCAAGCAGTTTAGATGTATGTTTTAGATGTAAAACAAAGTTATTTTGTTCAAATATCAACAACCAAAGGTTAGAACTGGTTAGGCTAGGTTTTCAGTAGAATGGCTTGACACAATGAAGGGTTCAAGAACTGTCAAAAAGTGATTCTTTCTGTTTTTACAATTTCTGGATGTGAAGAAAGATTTTGGGGTTCAGAGGATTAATACCTGATCAGATAAATTATTTGTGCTGTCATTTAATCCATCTGTAACATCTTGGTCAAAACCTTGCTTGTTTCCAAAGTGAGATCTCCACTCTTAGTTTGTTTAACTTTAATTATGTCTGTGTTCTGGTTATCAGAATGTGTCATTTTACTCTCAAGTACTTCTCTAGATGCCATCTTGCCATTTTGCGTATGGTGGACATAGATACCTGACTTGTGGCCACTCTGGATACCCTTAGTTCCTTTGAAGATGTGACCACATCGTCCAAATCCTCCATGTTACAAGCCCTCACTAACTCTGGATTAACATTCTCTTGTCCTTGCACATATAATACAGAGCTATGTCTTCTATCTGAGAAGCGTCCATTCCTTGCTTTACATGATGTGTATTAACTTTGCATGGCATGTCTTGATTTGACCATCACTTTTGCATTGCCACAACCTTATTTGTTTCTGTACGTTGACTTAATAATGAGAATCTTCTTCTGGTTTAACAGTCAGTCTGTGATGCCTCCTCTGTAAACTGGCCAGACTCAATGTCTTTTTCCTCTATGCTGATGCTTGACATGTCTTCTTTTGCACTGTTTTCATCTTGGTCATTTGTGATGTTTACATTGTGATGTAAAGACGATGTCATGATGTCCTGATCTCCATCATGCATTTTGTAAGAGCACTCATTGTCTTCTTGGTCATATGCATCACAAATCATTTGCTGTTTGGGGAGCACCTCTTTGTCTTTATCACTTGCACTTTCATCTGAGACAGTGTTGTCCTGTACTTGTGGAAGTGTGGAACGCATTTCGTCCTCATAGTTTTCATCTTGTTCATCTGACATAGTAGTTATATGCTGTACAGGTGACATTTCCTCATCAATGCTGTCTTCCGACAGAGTGTGATAAATTACACTTTTTGCATCTTTTTCAATTTCTTCATCTTGGTCATTTGAAATGCTAAGATGAGGTACCGCTAAAGCAGCTTCTTCCACAGTTTGCTCCCCTTTCTCTTCAAAACATATATTGTTGTCTGCAATCGTTTGCATTGAGGAACTTGTGACTGATGCATCTTTTTCTTCACTCTCTTCTTTTTGGTCAGCTGAGTAGCTTATATTTTGCTGTACAGTTGACGCCATTTCCTCCACAACATTCTCATTTTCTTCCTCATCAGTAATGTTGTTATCTGACATTACGCTATCCTCTATCTGCAAACTTATGGCCGCCAATGCCTCTTGTTTTTCAGTGTCTTCATCTTGGTCACTGGAGGCGCTAGACCCCTGTCGTGACACTCTTTCCTCCAAAATACTCTCCTCTTTCCCTTCATTACTTATACTGCCTGAATCTGCATTGGCTGGGCTCTGATCTACTGATGCTGATTCTATAATTTGTACATCATCAACAGGTTCTTTGTAGCCAGAGTTATTGTCTTTTGTTGTGGGTAAATGTTGCTCTGATGTTGAAATGGTTTGTACATTAGAGCCCTCTACTTCAGCAACATTTTCAGGTGATTCTAATGTCAAGTTGGACTTTTCTTCTTGCTTAGTCATAGTAGTGCTCCCTTCACCATGATCTGCCTGTTCTTCCATTACCTTCTGATCAAGTATGGGCCTCTCTTTTGACTCATTCCCAGTGTCTGTCAGAATCTCATTTGGACAAGTCACTAACATTTCATCAACCACAGCAGTGAGTTCGTCTTTAGATTCAAACAGTTGCTCCTGCTCTGTCACCTCACTGGTGATGGTTGACATTTCCACCTTATTGTCTTCTGCCTGGATACTAGAAGAAGTGGTAATAGCCTGATTTGTTTTTAAGTCTGAAACACATTTCTCTGCTGGATAGGCATTTTTTTCCTGTTCCTTTTCATCATCGCCTGTGGCTTTATTTGATTGATGTTTTGACCCAACTGTTTCCTGTCTGTCCCCACTTTGTGCTGTGTTATCACATGTCTGATCATCAACATTGTTGACGTGGTCTGATGTCGAAGTGGAGTCTGCTCCCTCAGGAAACGTTGATTTTTCCTCCCTTTCTTTATCCTTATGAATTAAATCAGTGACATCAGCCTCAGGTAGGAAATCTTCTGTGGAAGTAATCTGAGTGACCGTAGATGTATTTTCCCCAGAAAAAGTTTCAGGAGGGACATGATTTTTCTCTTTTCTTAATTGTGGAGCATTCAACTCTTCTGGATTCTCTTCTGGATAAATGTGTCCTGCTGTCAGATTTATCACATCTATAAATTTGGTTGTTGGAATCTCAGTGATTTTATGCAATTGATCAGGCCCAGTTTTGTCTTTTGTATCTTCTCGTTTCTCAACCACTATGTCACATGGCTCATCTGATATCTGAACTACTTCTGGCTCTGATAATGACTTTACAGTATTTTCTTCAAGATTTATAATGGAAGAATTGGTTGATGTTTGTATTAGATATTGTTGGACACCTTCACTATCATCAAATGCAACTTTGATCACCTCATTTGGATTCTTATCATCTGATGTGAAGCCTTTAATGGCCTTGTCTTTATGTTGTGAATCTTGTCTACATGGTTTGGGAATACTAGCGGTACTAGTGGTTTTCTCGAATGGGTGACTTCCTTGGAACTGATTAATGCTGACCTGCTCAATTCCAAGTGTACTTAGTCCAGCTGGACAAATTTCAGCCTGTCTTGTTTCTACCTTCAGTGCTCCTACATGTCCCAACCCCATTTTTGGCTGCCCGGTATCAACTCTCAAAACAGCAGCTGGTCCTAACCCCATCTGCCCTGGCTGCCCAATCCATGTTTGCCCCAAATACCTATTTATTGCAACATCACCCCCCTGTATAGTAGCAGCATGACCTGGCAAACTGCCATACACACTCCCCTTGGCTGCCAAACCTAACACCCCCTGAGGGGGAGCAGCCTCTTTCACCAGGATAGCACCTCCAGGCAAAATGCCCTGAGATGAGCCTGGGCCCAACCCCTCTGCTGCATCTGGACTACTGTTATTCTTGACTAACATATAATTGCCATCTGAATTTGGCCCAATTATTTTCCAGCCCTCGGCCGGGACTGAGCACAGTGATGCATCTGGGCTACCAGGTAGCAACAGGGTGGGGCTGACTTGGCTGGTGGTGCTAGCAGGGCTTTGGGGACTTTTGGGGCTTTTGGAGCTCTCGGTGTGTTGGATGATTAGTCCAGAAGGAGAGCCTTGAGGTCCACCTATTACAAGTCCAGAAGGACTTTGGGGACCACTGACTACATATAGGCCTTGAAAATTTGCTCCGTGGGACCCATCTGCCAGCAGAACAGTGTTCTGTAGATGTGGTTGAACTACATAGCTCATGGGTTGCAGTACAGGGCTGGTAGTGTAGTAAATTGGCTGTTGCTGTAGCACAACTGTTTGAGGTGGATAGGGCAGTGTACCAGAATGAGTAACGTTAGAGGAATGGCTGGTGTTTGTAACCTTGGAATGAGAAACTGCCATTGGTGGTGGACCAGTGCTTACTGTACTGACAGATGATTTTAAGATGTTAGTAGATGACATAACTTTCTTGGTCTTTATGTCTGTTTGCTGTGTGTCAACAATATGCTCAAATTTGGACTTTAAAACTGGCTCTACTCCATCAACTGTGGTTTTGACAGCACGTGTAGTTGTGTGTGTCAGTTCGGGTGTTGTTCTAGGAGGGGAACAGATCTCAGCCAGAGTCTTGAACTTCGACCCAAGGTTAGTGAGGGACGACAGGTCATTGTCAGAATCCAGAAGACTGCAGCAGCTCAATGAGCCAGCAAAGGAGCCCTGGCCCTCAAAATCATATTCTAGCAGACCATCCTTCACGGGTACAGCACACACAGCTTTCTGTTTGGGCCAAAGAAAAAGTATAAACATCAGTGTTAAGACGATTTCAATGCAAGTGTGTATGTAGAAGATCTGGTGACAAATAACGACTGCATGCAAAACCAACATAGTACCTGTGAGTAGTAATCATTGAGGAAAGAATCAGGAAGGGCCATATCCTCATACAGAGCTGTTGTATGTTGGAAACCAAGTGTTTGCCTGTTGAATGTAGCACTGTCATTGACGTAGTTGAACGACTCCCTTGAAAACCCGTATGCGTCGTCAATCTCCATCAGATTTTGGGAGGTTTCCTGAAACTTCTGCATAGTTTCATTGTAGGTTGTTGTATGATGAATGTCTCTCATTGCTGAAGGCATAGTGTTAAAGTTTGGTGCTGGTGCTGTCTCTATTTTCCTTTGGGTACCAAGCAAAATAGGGACACTCTGGAGTGGAACTTCCTAAAAAAAATAAAAGAAGGAACAAAAATATTCCCTATGAATGCATATTATGTATGATTTCACTTCACAGTGTGGGTGTGGTAGCAAATTGATTAGCACAGATTGACTATTTGTTTAGTTAAATAGTTTCTCTTGTTGTTTTGTCATTAGAATATGTTTTTGTATTTTTCTTAATAACTTTCACAGCCATCTCAAGGCCCCCCTGACAGCTCTCTGTGCCATCCAAGTGGGCCGTGGCCTCCCTGTTGAGAACCACTGGTCCAACTTACTGGCAACAGACACTTACCAGCTGCCATTAGAAAATTGTCTGATAGAATGTATGGCAGTTATTTCATAAAAAGAGACAGATAAATGGACTAATCAGTTTTTTAAAACTGGGTATAGATTTTCCTATTTGTCTTCATGTGAACCAAATTTAAATGTTTGAGACGAGATGTTCATATGACATCCCATTATTGATAAACCATCCTGTGTTCAACCACCTTTTGTCTTTGACATCGCTTTTCTAAAAGTTCACTTTCAATAATACTAGAATTACATTTGGTAAATTAAACCAAATTAGGAATGGAGGGATTTAATTTCTTCCCATGAAATAGAAACCCACCTTATCCTCGCCTATGCCTTCAGTGTGATAGGATATCAGGTGTTCTTTGGTGTCAAATGGTAGATCACTAAATTGGTCTGGAAATATGGTGTTTGCTCCTCCACACTGACAGAATACCAGGAGAAGTGGTATGACTGCACAGAGAAAAAACAAATTCAGATGGATAAAAAGATTTTCACTGCAAGCAACCCAGTCTCCTAAAAATGACCTTCCTATACAACTAAATGCATTTCTTAATTACGCCATTTGTTTTATTGCTTTACTGTTATTCCTTTTTTAGCCAACCAATCCTATATTAGATGGGGCAACACTCGTCACCTGGTAAACTCAAAAATAGAGGTGAAACTTCAAATATGTTGTACATAGGTCAGACTTTAACCCAAACCATGACATTTTTCTAAATGATGTAGTTTTGGTACCTAAATTTACCAAAGCTTCTAACATATTTTTTTGTTGTTAAAGTGTCAACCAAAGCATTGTAGTTTCCTAACCTCACCATGCAGTTTGATGCCTAAACCTAACCAAACATCAAGTGAAAACTGAAAGTAATCTTGTGAAATAGAGAAGAATAACAGTCCCACACGGGACGTGGGCCCGGTCTCCCGTGAGGGTTCAGTCACTGGCTTAAATGCTTTCATCCTCCCCTTCTACCTTCTTATGTGGACTTTGTGGCTCTTTCAAACTGGAACTCTTTCCTGCTATGGCACAGATGTAAAAGTATATTTGTTTTAGGACAAAATATATGTTTTTTCATAGCATAAAAGGGAATGCAGTTTAGTAATATTGGAAAATAGTTTTGTGGAGACAGGGTTGCTGCAAGACACAAAAGCAAAAACAAGATTGACAGATCTTAATCAAGTTCTTCATAAACATAAATTATTGTGTCATTAACCTAATGCAGCAATGCAATACACAATAGTTGAATGTTCACTGACTTCACTTAATGGCTTCCCATTACCTAGCATTGCATATAAGCACTACTATTGCAATACAAAGAATGCTATGTTATGCACATTATTACTGGCTATTTGTTAAAGCTCCACTCACACAGCAGTAAGCACATTGCCATAAACAGTAGGCCAATGGCTGGGCCACCAAGCTCAGTAGATGTAGTTGTTTCTCCAATAGTCTCCAATTTGCAGTCATCTCTTTCCACACAGTCACAAACACCCACAGTAAAAATCTCATTGGTTGGGCAGGAAAGACCTTTAGCATCCAATATCTCCACCTGCAGCTCATATGAGCCAGGCCACAGCGCCTCAGTAGAATGAAAAGCAGCACTAGTTTCTGGAAGCAACAAAACATAGACAGCTGTTAAGCACACATTATGTTCTTATTATTACTAGGAATATGACTCATAATTTTAGCCGTTGTAATTTGGCCGTCAGTAATACTACGGCTACTTTCACTACTGTATACTACCATGAATTCAATTCACTTTGGTTCACTTCAGTTTTATATATTGCAACTACAACATACGTCATGGCAATATATCAAGAAATTTCTGACACATACAAGGACTCAGGGTGGGTTGTTATCTGCCTCTACCAGTTATAATGGTAGAGTCAAAGTACAGAGAAAAAAGATGAAGTGGTGTGCCAGACACCCATGTATATTAAATTGTATTTTAACTCTGTCAAACTGGTTGTGATAGTGATAATAGTGATACACAGGAGAACAACAATGAACACTGACCAGGTTGCAAGCACTTTCAGAGGCACAATGAAGTTTTCAGTATTAATCTGGAATTTATATTTCAGGTTTTAAACTCCCTTTAGCTTTGCCAGTTACAATTTTAAAATCTATACACAATCAAAGCTACAGTTTGATGGTACTTGTCAGCACTTGTCACATTTTCTTCTCTTGTTCTTTGAATTCTGGACATAAAAATCCTGAATCTTTAAATTGTCACTCAAAGTTCAAGGATGTTAATTTTCTTACCATTGAGGACTTCTGCAACCCAGCTGCCTCGTGTACCCTCAGGTATGATTCTGAATGTGAATGGAGTACCGTTGGGACTAACATCTTCATCAAAGCCAGTTACAATAACAGTTTTTTCATCAGAGCACAGGTCACTGTGGGTGGTTGTCAGGGTAGGACAGTGGTCGTTCGAGTCTTTGACCTGAATAGCTATTGTTCCTGTGACTGTCTTTGATGGCATGTCTGATGGTGACAACAGCTTAGTTAGTCAACCAGCACAAAGACTGTAAGGATATAGTACAATGAAAATACACGGCACTGCAAATGTCAAACCAGTGATCAAAACATTTCATCAGTTATTATTTGCTCTAGGGCTTCTATTCATTCTGTGATTGGTGCACTTTGAGTAACAAAGCAGTTTGACATGTTCTGCCATGATCGGTGTACTTAATTTCATAAATTACCCTTCATAATTTATGAACTGCTCAGAAACTCAGAAACCTACAGTTAATAAATCATGCATAGAAGTAAAGTCCTTCAGTGGTGAAGACAGATGCTCTTAAAACTGAAATTTGTCAACAAAGCAGAAATAAAGCATTAGTGTTGACAAGAGTGTTACCTTTTGTCATAGCCAGAATCTTGGCAATGTAGGTGCCGTTCACCAAGAATGGTGACTCTCTGTCTGGTACCTTGTTGAGTCTAATCTCAGCTGTTTCTTCATCTATCGTAAACCAGTTGTCTGGATCAAAGGCTTTGACATAACTGAAACACAACGTATATGTATGAAGAAAAAGAAACAATTAGCAATAAATGAACAATGCTCCATCCATCATCTGTACACAGTTAATCCTCACAGCCCATAATGCTCAATATTATAGCAATTAAATCATTAGTTCAACCTTTTGGTAAAAATGCCTAATTTCTTTGAGAGTGAGGAGACAAGATCAATAATCTCACTTCTATGTGTGTATCTAAATTCAGTAAAACATTAACAAGTCTTGCACTGATCAACATTCACAAACAAATGCCTCTCAAGCTCAGGAACACATTGTAGCTGCTTATCCTTTCTTCAATTTCTTATGATTAGCTAATGGTGTGAATCTTCCTATCGAATTCTTTGCAAGAGCATAACTATATCTTAAATGGCCCTATGCTATTCTAACAACTGGGGGCAATATTTTATCACTGCCATTTTTGAGGTGCTTTTAACATAGCACCCAAGATTCCACTGTCTGTGCAGATTTGGTGCAAATCCCTACTTTGCATCAAGGTGGTTAGCGCAGGGTGAAACATGTCAGCACCCACTGAATCTGTTCATCCATCCATGATCTATACACCATTTCATCCTCTGTAGGGTCACAGGTGGGCTGGAGTCTATCCCAGCTGACTTAGGGCAAAGGCAAGGGACACCCTGGACAGGTCACCAGTCCATCACGGGGGCACACAGAGAGACAGACAATCAAGCACACTCACATCCACACCTACGGACAACTTATGATCACAAATTAACCTCAGTATGTCTTTGGATTAGGTTCCAGCCCCCCTGCAACCCTACTGAGGATTAAGCGGTGTATAGATAATGGATGGATGGATGGATGTCTTTGGATTGTAAGAGGAAAACCCAAGCAGGCACATTGAGAAGATGCAAAGTCCTCACAGAAAGACCTTGGGCCAAGATTCAAACTCAGGACCTTCTAGCTGTGAGGTGCTGTTCACCACCTATGAATGGATTGCCAGAAAATTTGATTTAAGTTTCATGCCCCTATGACTTTGGTGATTACTTGAATTTTCCTACAGTGCAAGGTCAATAGTTTTGGTTTTGAGTGAAATGTCTTTAAAGCTATATGCATTGTCACAGGGTCAAAATTTCAGTTCTGTCTGGCACAATAATTAGCAAATGTTAGCATAGTAACACACTAAACTAAAATCCTTATCATGGTAAACATTACAAACATGTAAAACATAAGTCCCAAGTACAGTCATAAAGGGTTGCTGGCTTGGCTGTAGACTACAGCAACTTGACTAACCTGACATCTTCAGCCGTTTTTTTAGTATCTGGATCAACAGCAGCGAAAACGCCGATTATTCCATCTTCAGGTGCCTCATTTGGATCCTCAGACACAGGAACTTCCATGATGGTGGGTACAAATGCAGGACCCTCTGGCACATTATTTACTGATATCTTAATGGGATAGCTTTTTGCTGGTGCAGTTGGCTTTGGCTTTTTTTTTGGCTTTTTTGGTTTGACACCTGGCTTAAGGCCAACATCCACTCCAGGCCCAACTCCAGGCCCAAGACCAGGCCCAAGACCAGGCCCAAGACCAGGCCCAAGACCAGGCCCAAGACCAGGCCCAACACCAGGCTTAACACCAGGCTTAACACCAGGCTTAACACCAGGTTTAATCCCAACTCCAGGGCCTAGCCCTATATCAGGTTTAAGTTTACCATCCAACCCTACATCCAGGTCAGCATCTAGATCCACTTCTGCATCTACATCCAAATCTGCATCTAGACCCAAATCTGCATCTAGGCCCAAATCTGCATCTAGACCCAAATCTGCATCTAGACCCAAATCTAAATCTAGACCCAAATCTGCATCCAGCCCCATGTCTACTCCCAGGTCTGCCCCAACACCAGCTCCAGCTCCGGCTCCAGCTCCAGTAGCCAGAGCACCACCCTCTCCAACCTTGACGTTCACGTCCATCATTTGCGCAGTACCCCTCACAGGAGGAGCTATATTCTCAATGAGTATGCCAAGCTCAAGATTTTGGACTTCTTCAAAATCCACAGGCTGTTTGGTCCAGGCCAGAAGATAAATGAGGTTGTGAGAGAAGACAGCAAGAAATAGGAAGCAGGAAACACATGTAAGATACCAACCCAGTGCTGTTTACGATATCACAAATTAAAACAAATTTAAGGTCCCATATAGTAAAAAAATCCTTTTTTTTAAATTGTGTTTTGTATGTTATATAAACTAGGTGGTGTAAAATAAAAGCTGAGAAAATAAGATGTTTGCTTCTGCCATACCTCAAGCCCCCTTCAAGCCTCTAAGCTTTAAAACCAGAAAGACTTATCAATGGTGCAGCTCAAACTTTGTATAATCCTGCTCCCCCACTGCCCTCTTCTTCCGAAGTGAGCCATTCAGAAAGAGCAGCTGCTTCACAGTCCACCAGGTGTGTTCACTTTTAAGAGATGCCTCTATTAACTCTAAAATGTCTCAGCCACAAGAAAAGTTAACCAAATGTTCTACTGTTGGATGCAAGAGTGAACACAAGAGTCTTTATGCATGCCCAGCATCTGGGCATATGAAGATCCAGTGGATTACTTTTACTTTTGACTGAAATTTTAACACAACATTAGGAAGATCCTCACTGTTTACGTCTGTCCTGCTCTTTGTGGTCACATATTGGGTATTTTAGTACAGTCTAGTTATATTTTTCTTTCTGTTGTTAGACACAGAAACGAATTAGTGTAAAATAATGACTAAAAAACAGCCCATTAGACATATTAACCAGCAGTAGACACTAGACATTAGAACAGAGCTAAAACCAGGGGTTGTACAGTTGTGATAAAATTAACCATCTTTGCATTATTTTGAGCTGAAAAATTGAAAGACACACTTTGGGCAATATGTGAGAATGTCAATATTTTGGGGCACAATATGGGACCTTTAAAATGCTTGAAGTTACATCAAACAAATGTCAATACCTTGACCAGCATCAGGATACCCTCATTGGTCTCTTCGTCTGTCTTGATGGTAAAGAGATTATCTTCATTTCCTTTGGCAATTGTAAATTTAGTCAGCCAATTGTCTGTGTGTTCAAGGTCTTTGTCCAGAGCTTTGATTTTCATCACAACTACATCAACAACATTTTCATCCACTGAGCCAGCGTACTGCAAACAGAACAACATTTTAAGCATTCAGCATTCAGTAAAAAACAGTAATATGGTAAAACTGTGTGTGTGTGTATGTGTGTGTGTCTGTAGTGTACAAGTAGGACATGTGTTTTACCTCAGATTTCTCCAAAGTAGGGAAGTTGTCATTGATGTCCAGAATCTTGATCTCCACAGTTCCTGTACCAGTTTGCCCCCCTGGTGCCCCTCCCATATCAGTTCCCATTACAACCAGCTTGTAGAAGTCAATAGTCTGTCAGAGAAAAACATCACATCAGAAGCATGAATTGCACATCTGTTCTACTGTAAACAGATGAAATGTAATTATATGGTGCATGTTGTGACAGAAGTTAATAGGATTAGATTAGCCCTGTTTTTCCAGCATCAAAAAGTAGCTCAGGGAAAAAAAGCACAGCTGCAAAACCTTGATAAGCTCTTAATTATGACATTTTGGAGAGCATAAAGGATTAGTTAAAGTTCAGTCAAAACAACACAATTCAAACACAATTCAAATGATGTAATTGTGATCTGGAGTAGGAAACCATTACTTTAGGGAATAGGTTGATTCCATTATTTTTCTTGTGAGTTGTTCTAATGGTTACAGAGTGCAAACAGTGAATCATGTTTAATCCCCTTCAAATTCAATGACTGACTAAAGTCAAAATAAAATCTGTTATTACTTACACTTGTCAGACAGTCATGTAGTTATGAAACTTCTAAAATGATCTTATATGCCATGTGTTTTATTATGGGGGCAGTAAGAGACAGCTTTACCTCTCTGTCCAGTGTGGGCTCTTTGACATACAGCTTGCCTGTCTTTGAATCGAGACGGAACATGTTCCCTGCGCTCTTTGGCTCCTGGCTAATGATGCTGTAAGCGATCTCTGCATTAGGTGTTCCAGCCTGGTCATTGTCTTTGCCCTCAATCTGCATTACAAGGGTTCCTGCAGTGGATCACAACAAACCAGGATCATCTCAGCAAAATCCATCAAACACATTAAACAGTACGAAGTATCCACATACATACATACAGTATATGCAGACTGTGTTTAAATGTGATATGATGGACTATAGTTACAATTGTGAAAAAATATTGTAATTAACTAGAAGAAAAGATGCATAACAGATGTCCGCTACAGATATAGTGCTATGATTGATTTTGAGGTCACAGGCAGAAGGAGAGAGGGCATGAGATGGCTCAAAATAGAGAAATGAAATGAGCTCTGTGTGCGAGACAGGTGTGCTGAATCAGAGCAGAGCCAGTTCCTTAATCAAGACCTCTATAAAAAACCCAGTCCTGCCACTGCCACTATGATTGTATTACAGATTGCAGTCTCTGCTACCTGTCAGTATACGTATGCTTTGAGGCAAATTATTTACAAGTTTTTGAAGATGCTTTCAGTCCTTAAGATCCCCTGACACATCACATCTTCCACCTTCCTTGCAGTACAGCCTGCACTGACTCTGGTCACCCCTGCTTTCTGTCCTAGAACTCATACATTTTACACCTCTTGGACCCCACTCTGAATGAGCCGTGCTTCTGGTAACCTTGCTCCTTTGCTAACATAGAACCATTCCAGTATCCCAAACTCAGCTCCGCTGCCTGCTATCTGGATGCCACTTGGCCTAGCTTCTCTCAGCTAACCCTCTGTGCTAAGTCCAGCTTTCAGCACAATGTCAGTCCTGCCTCCTCACTTGCCAGCAACCTTCCAGCTTCTCATCATCATTCTCTGCGACAATAAACTAGCTTTCACTTTAAATTTGTCTACCCTAGATTGTGACAGATTCTGGGTTCACTAAGAGTTGCAATATTTAAGTGTGGGACATTAATCTTTGTCTTTTGACAAGTATTTGAAATGCTGCTAAACTCTGACTGGTACACACACACAAAATGTGACATATTATTCCAGGTAATTCCTGACCACTTAAAACCAAAGAAAAAAAAGCAAGAACAAATGCATGAATACATACATTTCTCATGTGAAATCATTGAAAATGTTACCAACATTGGCAGAAGATATTGGGTCACATCACTAACAGAAGGAGAATAAATGTGCTTAAAGTCCTGTGTTACCTGCTTTGCTTGCCTCTGAGATGTTCCCTCTATGCAGCTCAAAGTAAGGTGGGTTGTCATTCTGGTCCACAACTGTGACAGTCAGTGGGATGTCATCCTCTGCTTTGGTTCCATTTGTGTATCTAGCAATGCCTGTTAGCTGTATGTATCACGAAAGAGACAGACTGTGGTCAGAAAGTCTAAAATCAGTCTTTTGAAGGTGTGTAGAATTTGGGGGGGTTCATTTTCAGAAATGGAATAACAAATGCTAATTATGTTTTGAGTGTACAATGACTTAAAAAATAAGAATAAATGTTTTAATTCACTTAGAATGAGCCCCTTATATCCATGAGGGGTTTCTCTCTCAAACTTCGACAGATGGTGAGATTACCAAGATTGCACATAATCACTGTTGTTTACAATCTGATGATGGAAACAGGCCAACAGAACAAACTTATAGAACAAGAGCTGAACACTAAAAAAAAGTCAGTCATCAGTGGGCTGTCCGGTACCCTCACACCAGTTATTATGAAATGCGTTGACAGGCTAATCTTAAAGTATATCACAGCCAGCCTCCCACCCACCTTCGATCCACACCAGTTTGCCTACAGAGCCAACAGGTCTACAACGGATCCCATTGCCATGCTCTTCACACTGCGCTGACCCACCTTGAACACCAGGTTCAGCCCCATCCTCTGCTCACTGTACACATATGACTGTGGCCCCCATTTGTAACTGCAACACCATCATTAAGTTTGTCAATGACATGGCTGTGGTTGGACTTCTCTTAGGAGGAGATGACCCACTACCCTCAGGCAGACACTTCAAATCCATCAAATACCATACAAAGAGACTGATAAACAGTTTTAACCCCAGAGCCATAAGAGGACTAAACTCTGCCAAACACTCACACTAACAGTTTGGACTTGAGTGCCCCTAGGAATTCCTTCAAGCTACTTGTAAACTTTGTACTTATTTATAATGCACAAGAGATTACTGAATAGTTTCACTGCAAGTCTGCAATGACAACAAAAATAACTTCTATTCATTTCTATCAGAAGACAATCTGACAGAGTCTCAAATAAGTATTGAATGCTACAAACTGGTCTCCCAGGGAATTCTGGAAACACTCAGTGCCAGCTATGACAGCATGGATGGACTTGTTTTCACCTTGTGTGCTTGTCTTTGTGTGTGTGTGTGTGTGTGTGTGTGTGTGTGTGTGTGTGTGTGTGTGNAGACAATCTGACAGAGTCTCAAATAAGTATTGAATGCTACAAACTGGTCTCCCAGGGAATTCTGGAAACACTCAGTGCCAGCTATGACAGCATGGTGTGTGTGTGTGTCACCTTGTGTGCTTGTCTTTGTGTGTGTGTGTGTGTGTGTGTGTGTGTGTGTGTGTGTGTGTGTGTCTGTGTGTGTGTATGTCTGTGTGTGTGTGTGTGTGTGTATGCCATCACGGAAAAATGTGGTCCTGGAGACACTAACTATCGCAGGAACTGCCACACATTATGTATGTTTGAATTTTGTCAACATGACAGCATTGCAACCATGCAAAATATAGTCATAAAACTTTGTAAGTGTGTATTTGTCATTTCACATAGGTGTGGCTTGACCCAAAAAGACTGAGTATTCATCTAATGTAGTAAAAACTATCAAATACATATAGGTCAAATGTACTGTACATATGTGGAGGTTTCACGTTTGCCTTCACAGTGCATTCACACCAGCATAGGAATGCATTCCATTCATGAAGCCAAAAAATGTAGTTGGTCAACTGGGTTCGATAAAATGTCATTTATTAAACAATAATAACGCAATGCGCACCCATAGACATCCATCCATCCATTATGTAAATGGTCACTTATATATTATGTATACTCCTCTTAGTCCTCCCAGTCTATCGCAGTACAATTTAGAATCACCAGTTAATCTCAGAATGTTTTTAGACTGTGGGAGGAAGCTGAAGAACCCAGAGAGAACCACAGGGAGAACATGCAAACTCCACACAGAAAGATCCCAGGTGTCCTAACTGCTATGCAAACCAGGGATCTTTTAGCTGTGAGGTGAGAGTGCTAACTACTGAGACACTGTGCAGCCCTGTCTCTGGACAGATTTTGTCAATATGATTTTCTCAACCATGTAAGGGAGAGTCACAAATTTTTGCAATTAGGTTGTTGAGGTTATTGACTAAATAAAAAAGAGGGATGACACATCCATGACATCACCCATAGGTTTCCTGGAAAGCAGTTTCAAAGTTTATTGTGGTGGCTCAGGCCATCACCATGTTGGCAATATTTGATTCCTCCTCACTCCCAGCTAATCCTAAAATAAACAAAGAGGTGGAGAGGGAGTGTAGCTGAGGTAGGCAATGCAAACACCTCTAGCACATGACCTGTCATATGATGGCACCCACTGGTCACTCAAAGCTACCACGCCCTTAACTATGCAAAACCTTAAGCCTTAATACAATCTAAACAACTGAGTTATACAAAAATTCATCCCCATTATGAACAGACATCTTTCTATAAAGACCAAAACTGTCTTATGTACTGCCTGTATATAAGAGAAAGTATACAGTATTCAATTCAATTTCAATTTAATTTTATTTATAGACTTCACAACATATGACATCTCACAGTGCTTAACATAGTAAGGTACAGACCTTACAGTTTTAAGGTCTCACTCTCTATGCTCTCTGTATGCAAGCACAGACAACGGGAGCAACGCAAACAATGCAAAGTGCAAAAGCCGACTGAGTTTAAGTTGTTCTGAGGCACAAAAAGTGACATGAACACAGTAACACATACTGTCATTGTTTGTTGGTTTAAAATCAAAAATGCATGAGGGTGGCTCTTGGTCAGTTCTGTTAACCAGGTATGGCAGTGTTTACGTCACAACAGACTGCAAACCAGAATGGTTTGTAAAGGCATATATGTTTTATTGGATGGGGAAAGGACAGAAGCGAGGGCAAGGTCTTTTCTCAAAATTTCTAGATGCACTGGGAACATGGAATGATGTTTAAAAACAATGGGAATATGTGAAAACTGTGGTAAAATATTGTTTAGCATGATATCTCTCATTTAATATACATGGAACACTTTTTTTTCATTTTTGCAATACCTGTTTATCTTTTATCTTTCTATTTTAATTCTTGTCTCTTTAGGAGTCATAAAGATACAGGAAGTTGTGTTTAGAAAAGAGAAACCTCGACTTTTGATTTACAGCCAGCATTTTAAAATACATTCACCTCACAGTTGGGAAAATTAAAAAAAGAGAAAAAAGTATATGTCCCCTTTAAAGACAGACTTACATTGTAGGATGCATGTTTTTCCCGGTCCAGTTTACCAGTCATGCGTACAAACCCAGTGTCATGGTCCACCACAAACAGGTTGTAGGGTGGTTTGTCAGCTCCTGGTCCAGCGAGGTAATATTCCATCTTTGCATGTTTTGCTTTATCAGAGCGAATCTAAAAAATAAAACACACATTTCAGGAAACACTTAAGTGTCATCTTATTTTTCTGTCCATGGTTCTATCCATTTTAATACTTTAAAGGTGATATTCTTAAGAAATAATGTATCATCTCATAAAGCACACACTTTGTTATATTATGACTATAGTTGAATGTCACTATAAGAACCTCTTCAGCCATTGCTATGAGAAAATGTCAACCAGAGATCTACCACAAATCAGCGGTCTACCACATAAAAAGTCTTTTATTACTCCTTTAGGAATAAACCATATATTGATCACAAATTAAAGTGATTACAACTACTAGGTCACATTTTGCAGAAATTTAAAAAACTTTTAGGCTTATATGAGCATGCATTTGGAAACCCAGATATTTTGCATTTTAATAAAACTCTTTACCAAATGAAAATGTAGTAGACTAATGTCCCTTAGTTGGAATTCACATTTGTAATGACATGCATTACAAGAATCTAATCCAAGCTTTATGCTAAGCTAAGATAATTGAAACCCAACTCGAGCTACACAGATAAGGGACAGACGTAAGCATGATATTGCCAGTTCTCATGTGACTCTATTGAAAACAGTAAATATGCATCATTTTCCAAACATCAAATGTCATGCTGCTGATGGCTGAAAACTGCATCTCAACACTGATATTTTGCTCATACTGGAGCTGAAGAGGCTATTGAAACCTTTTAGAAAATGAATGAATTTCCCACTGCGGCAGATCCACTCTGACCTTACTTGTCACAGTGTTTTTTCAGCTGTAACATATAAACCTGTGACGCTTTCTGTTAAGGAGAGGACAAATTTATTCTGACAAAATGGTATTCAGTGCAAAATAAGTTTCTTTTTTTTCTGCTCTTTAAACACCATGAAAAAGCAAATCTTTGAGAACATGTATCAGTCTGTAGCTTAGGGCCAAATTCTCTAAAGAAGCAAAGCTGAGGATCTGAGTAACTGAAGCAGTCTCTCTTCAAGTAGAAACATGTTCTTTCTCACTATAGGTTTAGTGGGAAAACAGCCTATAATGTGACAGAAACTTGTCACGCAATACTATGGGAAGCCATAGTATTGCATGACAAGAGATATTGATGAGTAAAAGTCAAATAACCTTTGCAATGAACGGCAAATGTGAGTAGTCAGTGTTCTCCAGCGCCTTGAAAGGAGGAAGGATCCACTCTCTCTTCTTCCTCCTCAGTGTCTTCTCCCTCTTTTTGCTTGTCTCAGCACTGACCATCTAAAGAGAGACAGGAGATTGTTGTGAGCAGTATTGTGATACAGTGCTGTTGGTTGGATGGTTGGTTACACTGTCTACACAGGAAGCACTCAGGCACAGTATTGAACTTCAGATCATTTCTGTACTATATTTATCCATGTAAAAGACTGAACTTGAAGGGCCTTGAAGTGAAGTAGACTTGAAGTGCAAAAATATGCTTCTGAGACATGTCTATAGCTGCAGGCTGTTGCACAGAGAGATAGCATGTTCTGTAAAGATATACCACAGACCTCAGAAAAAAAAACTAGTAGCTTCTTAACAGCCATTAAAAAATACTAAACTAAACTAATATTAGATGAGAATTTTCCTCATGAGCTAATTTGTAGATCAATATTTACTGACTGATGAAAGACACAAAAAAATGAGACTGATCAGTGTATGTGATCAAAATATAAACGTATATTTAAAAATGTATTCCCATTGTACTGATATTTTATATTTAAGCTACAAAAAATAGTAGTTCAAAGTTCTCATGTAAATTAGTGTTGACTATCTTTCAAGCTGTAAAAACTCAAATGTAAAAGAAATTCATAATATTTTAATTTGTAAATATACAATAGTGTAGTCTTAACCTTAATATTTATGTTAGGCAGGTAAATTTGCTCCTGCAGAATATGTTGGCTGAGCAAGACTAGCCAGTTTGTGTTTGTTCAAAACGACTTTTTAAAGAAAGACACTGCCGTAGTTTGGCCTGACAGACATTGGGCTTTATTTCTTTACAAGGCCCTTTCTGTTTTTTAAGCCTCTTACATTACTTAATTATTGTCCTGCAATGTGGCCTGTTGCGAAACATGCTAAAATTAGATTACACTTCAGTTACTGGTTGTGTTTACTGAGATCAGAAAATTCAGTGTACACCTGCAACCTGGAATAACAAGCAGAGCATGATGCATGATCGAATGCTTGACTCAGTTTTATCCTTAGGGCAATTCAAGTTTTTGATTGAAGTTTATTTTACTTCCAATTTACTTGTTTACATTTGTTCCCTTTTTAAAAAATCTTTAATGCTCTAATTAATGTTTTCATATTTTTCCTGACTTTGCATTCCAGTACTTTTTATTGCTATTGTTACCCACGTTTCCTACTTATGTGACGACATAGAGAGTTTCTTTGTTCTTTCTGCGGCTCATGTATTGTGTTTTTAAGAAAGCCACACAGATGGAAGCACCCCGAGGCTCAGAGCACATTATGTGCCGTTCCAGTTGGTTCAGTTGAAAACACATGCCTAGTTGTTCCCACCCTCATGTTTTTGCTAAAAGTGAGCAGGTTTTACTGTGTGGAATGCCCTGCCTGACACAGTTAAGTGTCGTCTTCAGAATCACTTCTAAAAATGAAAATGTTTTTTCCCTTAGACTCATCAGACAGGAAAAGTTGCTATGCTGGCACTTTACTGTAATATTCAGAATTGTACTCCTGGCCTTAGACTGACTGTTAATAAAAAAATATACAAAATAAATAAATTTTAAAAAACGCAAAATAGGTTTAAAGTACAGTAATGTTAAAATGTATGAACTTAATTTTGACGTATTTGACAAACAAACCAAAAAACATATTAGTGTACGCCTAAACTTCTGAGGCAAAAGAAAATGTTATTACTGAGGGTTATTAGACTCCTTTTTCACTGTCAAAGTGTAAATTTTAAAAAAGCCCTTTTAGTTATGTATGTGTATGTTTTTGATTGACTGATTTGCACGCATTATGTTAAAATTCCCTTTGGTTTAAATTTGGAAATTTGGGCATTAACGTTAAATTAAAGTGACTCTGCTTGACTTCAATTAATCATTATTACTGGTTAATAAAGTTTGTTCTTCGGCTATAAAACCTTAAGTAAGTTTATATCCCAACATGTAAAAGCTGTTTTGTAGTTTTTTCAGGCAAACAGACAGGCCACAGCTTTTCAAATGGTACTGCATCTTTGTCTCTATAACAAAACCGCACAGTTCAGGCACATCTCAAAACAGCAACGCTATTTCATTGTGGTTTATACACCAATATAAAATGACCTGACATGAATTGGTTTGGCAACATTTTCACTAATAATATAGAAAATTCCATGGTTAGTGGATTACTTGTAAATGATGTTACTGACCACTTTGTAGTATTCACAGTTTGCAGTCATAATTATAAAGACAGTAAATGGACAAAGGAAATCAAATACAAGTGTATGCAAAGTTAAACAGCTATGGAAACATTAAAAGTGAATTCCTTCCACAAGACTGGATTTTGGTTTACAAGGAATATAATGTTAACACAGCATATTGAGATCTTTTTGTGTATATTTGTAAGATTATACAACAAATATGGTCCTATCAAGATAGTCAAGGTAAAAGCAAAACTATAGTGGAAAACCCTGCATTAGGAGGTGTTTTCAAAATGCTTGTAACAGGAAAGACTTTCGATATAGAGAATTTATAAAGAGGAGAACTACAGAAGCTGAAAACACATATAAGACATATAAGAAAAGATTAACGAACACTATGAGAGTTCTTAACAAAAAATATTATCATGTAATATCAGAAGAAAAATAAACACAATATTAAGGCCAAATGTAAAGTATTGAATAGTGTTTTTACAAATAGAATTCGACCTGAAAGTTACCCACAATATTTTGCAATAATAGAACTATAAATAATAATAACACCGTTGTAAATGAGTTTAATAAATTCTTTTTAAGTGTTTGACCAAAAGTAGCAAATTAAATAAAAGGGACTACAATGGGTGAAGATGATAATTGTGTAGCAAGAAATCTAAGGTCAGAAATGGCAAAATTAAAACAGGAATAAATTATCATTTAATCTGAAAAATAAAACAAACAAAAAAAAACTAATTTATGCCAATTGTAAAAAACAAACAAACAAACACAACTCTTTAATTTAGCTAAAGATGGATAACTCTAATATTGAAAGAGTATATGAAAATAAATTTCTAGGTGTGGTACTGGATCACAAACTTAGTTGAAAACCTCATATAAAATATATAAGAGCAAAGTTGGCAAAAATGTTCTTATTACTATGACAGACATAATACACTCTGAATTCAAAAGCCTCCTATACATTACACTGTTCACTGTTTTTACCATACTTGACCTATTTTTCAGAAGTGTGAGGTAACACATATAATACTACATTATATCCAGCAAATATGTTACAAACAAAAGCTATTAGGATAGTACATAATGTGGGATATGATGAGCACACTAATATATTATTTTCCAAAAGAAATACTTTAAAATTCATGGATTAGGTAAATTTAGAACTGTGCAAATAATGTCCGAAGCAATCAACAAGTTACTCCCTAATAACATACAACAAATGTTCAGAAACAGCATTGGCAACTATGAGAAAAAAAACATTTGCTCGCACCATCATGAACAGTAGATGTTTATCAGTTTGTGTAAACTTATGGAACCGTCTGGACGACGATCTCAATATGAGTACAACTATAAAACAGTTTATAAACAATATATATATATATATAAAACAATATGATAATGTGGAACAGTAAACGTGTTCTTGAGGTTTGTAAAGAGGTATAAAGGTACGAGGTATGATGCAAACAGTAAGATATAAGGTGTACAGACATGTAGCGGGTAGGAGCTAATAAGTTCAACTTTGGCCTACTCGTTTTCAGACAATATTTAGGTTCTGGATTTGGTTTGTTTGTTTCTGTTTGCTTTTTCATCGCTGACTGCTGCACCAATTGGCCAATGTTTTTGTTTATCAGTGCATTATTTAGTTATGAGGCATTGTATACATATTTTGATGTTGCTGCTGCAATTTAGAAAAAAAAGAAAAGAAATCTGCTGCATATAGATTGCAACCCTACACCTGGCTTTATAAAATGATTAAAGTTGAGCAAGTAAGCATCACATCTACTTAAGTGATTATCATGATCAACAATAACATTTAATCAAGTAAAGTCTAGTCCATTAAAAAATGAATCCTGCTCCAGTAAGAACTTAGTCTCTATGAGTTGTTTCAGGGTGAATACTCACCAAGGCCAGCACTAACAGAAGCAGCAGGCCCACTTCTGCGAGGGAGAACCGAGCCATGAGTGCAGGAAGCCTGCAGCATATACCAGCCTGTTGTTACTCTCCGTATGAGCTGAGGACTTTGAGTTAGACTGCCAAAAACGAAAAACAAATGAGCAATAAATAATGTTTTTTTACAGACACACCTATGTCAGTTTCCCCCCCCTCTCTTCATACCTGTACACCACTCCTTGATGTGCAGCCCCTTCTCCTCCCCTCCCCTAGTTTCATCCATGGTTTTATAACTTAGGCTGTCACATGCTTGACAAACTTTAAGGTGTGGCTGTTCACTGCCACATAGCAGGTCGAAGTATGTCCTCAGGGTATATCACTTGACAGGACTGACAAGGACAGACAGGTAGAGCAAGCTGTAAAAACTCTCCAACTTTCCCAGAAAATGCTACCTTTCTAAAAAAAAAATGTTTGTCTTAATGCAGTGGTAGCAGATTTTCTACGATATTGATTTAAACAATAGTCTATCCACAACACGTAGCAGTAAAATTATATTCTTTGAGAGGGCAGGGAGAAAGAGAATGATTTTGTGGAGATTCATGTACACAGAAATGAATTCACTGTTGTCTATGCATCAAATACAGCAGCTTCCTACACAAGAGAGCATGCTTATGAAAAAATGAAACTTCCTAGTCATTTGGAAAAGCAGAAGAGAAGATTTTCTGGTATATTAATAACATATTTGTCGTATTTTTAAAAAAAAAAATATATATATATACTGCTCAAGAAAATAAAAGGAACACCTAAACAACACAATGTAACTCCAAGTCAATCACACTTCTGTGAAATCAACCTGTCCAGTTAGGAAGCAACATTTATTGTGAATCAGTTTCACCTGCTGTTGTGCAAATGGAACAGACAACAGGTGGATATGAGAGGCAATTAGCAAGACAACCCCTATAAAGGAGGGGATCTGCAGGTGGTGACCACAGACTATTTCTCTGTTTTCATCCTTTCTGGCTGATATTTTGGTCACTTATGCATTTAGTCAGTGCTCTCAGCCTTAGAGGTAGCATGAGGCGTGTCTACAACCCACAGAAGTTGCTCAGGTAGTGCAGCTCATCCAGGATGGCCCATCAATGCGAGCTGTGGCAAGAAGGTTTGCTGTGTCTCTCAGCACAGTGTCCAGAGCCTGGAGGAGATACCAGGAGACAGGCCAGTACACCAGGAGACGTGGAGGGGGCCGTAGGAGGGCAACAACCCAGTGGCAGGACTGCTACCTCCTCCTTTGTGCAGGAGGACCAGGAGGAGCACTGCCAGAACCCTGCAAAATGACCTCCAGCAGGCCACTAATATGCACGTTTCTGCTCAAACTGTCAGAAACAGACTCCATGAGGGTGGTATGAGGGCCCGACGTCCACAAGTGGGGCTTGTGCTTACAGCCCAACTCTGTGCTGGGCGATTGACATTTTCCAGAGAACACCAAGATGGGCAGATTGGCCATTGGCGCCCTGTGCTCTTCACGGATGAGAGCAGGTTCACACTGAGCACATGTGACAGACGTGACAGAGTCTGGAGACGCCGTGGAGAACGTTTTGCTGCCTGCAACATCCTCCAGCATGACCGGTTTGGCGGTGGGTCAGTAATAATGTGGGGAGGCATTTCTTTGGAGGGCCGCACAGCCCTCCATGTGCTAGCCAGAGGTACCCTGACTGCCGTTAGCTACTGGGATGAGATCCTCAGACCCACTGTGAGACCATATGTTGGTGCAGCGGGCCTTGGGTTCCTTCTGATGCATGACAATGCTAGGCCTCATGTGGCTGAAGTGTGTTAGCAGTTCCTGCATGATGAAGGCATTGATGCTATGGACTGGCCTGCCCATTCCCCAGACCTGAATCCAATTAAACAAATATGGGACATCATGTCTCATTCCATCCACCAACGCCACATTGCACCACAGACTGTCCAGGAGTTGACTGATGCTTTAATCCAGGTCTGGGAGGAGATCCCTCAGGAGAACATCCGCCTCCTCATCAGGATCATGCCCAGGCATTGTAGGGAGGTCATACAGGCACATGGAGGTCACACACATGACTGAGCCTCATTCTGACTTGTCTTGAGGAATTTCTACTGAAGTTGGATCAGCCTGTAATGTGATTTTCCACTTTTATTTTGAGTATGTTTCCAAATCCAGACCTCCATGGGATAATAATTTTGATTTACATTGATCATTTTTATGTTATTTTGTTCTTAACACATTCCACTATGTAATTAATAGTTTTTCAACTGGAATATTTCATTCATTGAGATCTAGGATGTGTTATTTTAGTGTTCCCTTTTTTTTTTTTTGAGCAGTGTAGAATATTTTTTGAGTGTCACAGTTTGTACAGGGACCCAAGTGCAGAAAAGAGACTGCAAACAGAACAATTTATTTACAAAATTACACTCAACACAAATGTACCAGAGATAGTAGAGAACTGAGACGAGGGCAACACTCGGAGGCAAGGCAAGGAATTACAATGTGGACTATCTCGCTATACGGAAGATCTACGGAAGCCCATAAGACACATAAAGCTAGAAACGCAATCATCAATTACAAGACAGACATAATTTGCAAGATACTACATATTTACAGGCAGGGAAACTAACCACAACCAAGTATCACAGGGCTAGAAAAGTTCACAGGAGCCACTTTATTAGGTACGCCTGTCCAACTGCTCGTTAAACGCAAATTCCTAATCAGCCAATCACATGGCAGCAACTCAGTGCATTTAGGCATGTAGACATGGTCAAGACAATCTGCTGCAGGTCAAACTGAGCATCAGAATGGGGAAGAAAGGTGCTTTAAGTGACTTTGAACGTGGCATGGTTGTTGATGCCAGACAGGCTGGTCTGAGTATTTCAGAAACTGCTGATCTACTGGGATTTTCACGCACAACCATCTCTAGGGTTTACAGAGAATGGTCCGAAAAAGAGAAAATATCCAGTGAGCGGCAGTTCTGTGGGCGCAAATGCCTTGTTGATGCCAGAGGTCAGAGGAGAATGGCCAGACTGGTTTGAGCTGATAGAAAGGCAACAGTAACTCAAATAACCACTCTACAACCGAGGTATGCAGAATAGCATCTCTGAACGCACAACACATCGAACCTTGAGGCGGATGGGCTACAGCAGCAGAAGACCACACCGGGTGCCACTCCTGTCAGCTAAGAACAGGAAACTGAGGCTACAATTCGCACTGGCTCACCAAAATTGGACAACAGAAGATTGGAAAAACGTTGCCTGGTCTGATGAGTCTCGATTTCCTCTTGCGACATTCGGATGGTAGGGTCAGAATTTGGTGTCAACAACATGAAAGCATGGATCCATCCTGCCTTGTATCAACGGTTCAGGCTGGTGGTGGTGGTGTAGTGGTGTAATGATGTGGGGGATTTTTTTTTTTGGCACACTTTGGGCCCCTTAGTACCAACTGAGCATCATGTCAACACCACAGCCTTCCTGAGTATTGTTGCTGACCATGTCCATCCCTTTATGACCACAGAGTACCCATCTTCTGATGGCTACTTCCAGAAGGATAATGCGCCATGTCATCTCAGACTGGTTTCTTTTTTTTTTATTTTTTTTAAAATATATTTTTTGGGCTTTTGCCTTTATTTAGCGCAGTGGAGAGAGACAGGAAAGGGGGGAGAACTCATTCGAACTCACAACCGCTGCGTCGGGGACTGTAGCCCTTGTTCATGGGTCGCCCGCTCAACCAGGTGAGCTATACGGGCGCCCCAGACTGGTTTCTTGAACATGACAATGAGTTTACTATACTCCAATGGCCTCCACCGTCACCAGATCTCAATCCAATAGATCACCTTTGGGATGTGGTGGAACGGGAGATTCGCATCATGGATGTGCAGCCAACAAATTTGCAGCAACTGCATGTTCCTATCATGGCAATATGCAGCAAAATCTCTGAGGAATGTTTCCAGTACCTTGTTGAATCTATGCCACGTAGGATTAAGGCAGTTCTGAAGGCATAAGGGGGTCCAACCTGGTGCTAGCAAGGTGTACCTAATAAAGTGGCCGGGGAGTGTACAAACACACCTAAAGCATGGAACACTGAAGGCAAATACAAAGCCTAGAGCATGTACAGCGGTGCAGAAACAGGAGCTACAAACAATTTGGACCAAAAGTAATAAATCACAGAAGGCACATACACAACATTACCAAGAACGAGTTTAACCATAAACATACAGTAATAATAAGCGGTCTCAATCAATAAAGAAGATTGTGAAACCCAAGGAAACTAAGCAATAAAACTGACAGCGGCTTGGGGAGAGAGGTCAGGGGAATGCAAGCGAAGGGGGATGCATGGCGTGGCTGCAGGAATATGGGGTGCATGGCATGCATGGGAAGCGGGTAGAGGGAACCAGGATCCCGGCAGGTGAGGAATGCAGTCAGCGTGGAGATAGGGAAACAATGGGGAACGCTGCAGAGAACTGAACAGGAGAGCAGAGATTAACAAGAGCAAAACAATCAGAACAAGAACTGAACTGAGCTGGCCTGAGTTGACTGACTGGATGTAGTGCAACTTTCTGGCGTTACGTTGTGTACTGAGCCCTCCTTTTTGGCAGGTTGTGAATCAATGAACAAATGAGCCATTCCTCGTCGCAGGTGTCCTCACCCATTCAGGGAAGCACACACACACCCACACACACACACACAAACACACACACACATTCACACACAGGGGGGAAATGGAGGAAGAGCTGCCAGCTAAGCAGAGGATGTGCAGGGCATGATAGTATCTACCCCACCAGGGATTCATGATGCTTCCAATCTCAAAAGGCCCGATGAATTGGGGAGCCAACTTCCAGGACACCACCAGTAGGTCAAGGTCCTTGACCTACAACCACACTTTATTTCCAGGGGAGTATTCTGGTACAAGAGAGGGATGACTGTTGGCCTGGTCTTGCATACGTTATGGGGAATGGGTGAGGGATACCCTTCCAAGTTCGTTTACATTTCCGCAGGAAAGTCTGAATGGAGGGGGCAGTGATTTCTCATTCCTAGGATGGGAATAATAAAGGCTTGACATTGTGGGACCCTGAGCAGTACATTAGTGTGAAGTTGAACCTCCTGACAAACAAGGTTAATCGGGCTTGATAAAAGTTTCACCTCTTGGCATTCTGAATGTACTTGAGGTTTTGTGATCTGTCCAAATTATGAAAGGCTGTGCCTCCACACCTCCAAGGCCAGTTTAACTGCCAGCAGCTCACGGTTACCAGTGTCATAGTTTCTCTCGGCAGGTGACAG